AATAGCAAACGATCGGCTGGGCTCGCGCTCGCGCACACACACACCAAGTCTATTAATATGACGTGTGATACCATATCATAACACATACTGCATAATGCCTGCCTGCCGTTTCGTTTTCATTTCGATGTGTTATAAGCAAAAAGTAATTTCGATATTCTTGTTCGGGGCCCCGTTTGTCTTGTTTTCCTTCTGGAAATATGTGCACGTTACTGCCGCCACTGTTGCTGCAGTTGCTATTGCTGCTCACATAATCGAGATCTAACGTTGATATATATATATATATATATATAAATTTCAACATTGGAGTTTTTAAAAACAATGGTGCCTCACCAATATGCATTGCGCGCATTCGCTCGCTCTCTTGCCTCTGCTAAATTGCTGACTCTTTTTTCTTTTCTTCAGCTACTAATAAAAAAAAAGTTGATAGAAATGTATTGAAATTGGGGCCTCCTAAATCAATTGTTTCTGACTCGAAATTCGACTAATTCAATTACCTGAAAAAAAATGTATGCGCTTTTGGTTTCGTCTGTGCGCTCAGTTGTGATTTTCGTTTCGAGTTTTTTATTTTCTTGCAAATTTATTTATTCATAATTGCACATGGCTTCGCGATATCGCCGTATTATGTATATTTTTTCTTTCGTTGTTTCGTTCAATTATTCGATTCTTATTGTATTTGCTGGCGTCGTTATTACTTTTTTTCATTGCTCTGTCTGATGCATTTTTTTGGTTTAAATTCTCATTGCAATGCGAGCTCGGCTCAATCTGTAATCCAAACAAGATGTTCGTTGTTCGAAGAGAAAAAAAAATGTTTTTCAACAGAACAATAACAGAAAAAACAACAACATCGACAAGACAAACAACATCTTTGCAGCAACAACAATTTCGCGCGCATTTCGCGGAAGAGTTTAAAGACACACCGATTTTTCTGGGTTCAAACTGATTTCGTGGAATTTCAAACACGCGAAAAGTATAAGCCAATCGAAAAAATTGGCGCAGTAAGAAAGAAAAATTGAAAAAATGAATGAATTAGTAACAGAATAATCGATATCTTGATCAAAATCGAATATGAAAAGGCCAAATTTCCAGAAAAAATTCGATATTCAATCATCAATTGAGATAAAAATTCAGAATTTAATGATAAATTTGATTAAAAATCGAAGTTTCATAATGAATTAAGATAAAAAATCGAAGTTTAATGACAAATGCCATGGACCAAAATAGTCAAAATTCAACGATGATCATCATGATAGATTCGAATCTAAGGTGAAAAACTTCGCATACAAAATTGAATTTGGCTCAAAAACTCAAAACCCTACGAAAAGTTGGCATGAAACCGGCGAAATCCACTGAGGTATCTGTACTCTCAGACAAATTTACCGTTCAAATGAACAGAAAAATTACTGGAATTCTGATTTATCGCAACTCGGATGGATATCTCGGCATTTTTAGTACAAATTCCGATAAATCGGATGGATTGTTCCGAAATGGAATAAAATTTCCACTGTTTTTTCTGAGAATAGCCAAAAAAAGACAAAAGCATCTTAATTATGCTCACTTGTACTCAGTGAGCACTGCCCACACATGCGCTCGTTTCATCGCAGTCAATTAGTTGATACGCGGCATAAATTTAGAGCCATCGAGTGTGCTTAAGTGCGGTGGTTTGGCTCAATTTCGATGCGTATGCGAAATGAGTTATTATGCAAACCAACTTTTTTTTGTATTCCCTTCATTCATTCATTTATAATCAGATAACATTTGATTCGGGTTTGCCTGGTTGCCTATACCTTAAGCATAACAGCATAACACCGTGGTCTATAGACAGAGATAGTGTATGTTTTTTTTTTGTAAAACCATAGAACTCTCTTGGAGTTGGGCTTGGTTTGGTGTGCGCATGTTTGCGAGAGCGCAACCCACAAAATCTATATGTATCGCATTATGCTGGCGTCAATTTTCAGCGAGCCCAAGCGCAAATCAAGCTAAAAACAATGGCAAAAAAAATTACTTTTATTTATTTTTCATGTTTGGTTTTATTTCGTTGCCTTTTTTTCCATCTCTTTTACTTTTGAAAAATAAATACTTTTTATCTGGTGCTTATTCTTTGCTTTTGTTTGTTAGGGCCTGGTTAAGTGTGGCCCGATATTTATGTGAATCGAAATAAATTTTATTCCAATTTCGAGACAGTCGCTCGACTTTTGTTGTTTTGCAGCTCGTTTTTGAGCCGCGATGAACTATATGATAAGGTAATTCCATTCAGTGCATTTGCTTCGGCTTAGTCCAAGGTGATTTTGATGAATTTGTTGGCTTTTCATTTGTTTTAAAAACCACTGTGTGTTTTCTTGTTTTTTTTTCTTGGCCAAAATTGACAATTACATGATTTTTATCTCAAAACAAAAACCATACTCCGAATCCGACAACAACGAAAAAAATTATCCAAAATTATTCTAATTTCGGGCTGAAACGAATTGCAACATTCAAATCAACGATCATTGTTCAATGACTACCATTTGAATGAAAGAAAACCAAAAAAAAAATTATTGACTCGATTTATCGATTTACTCATGTAAATTATGATAATGAACGTATCGATTTCTTGTTGCACATTGAAAGTTGAACTCGACAACAGCATAAAACAAATCTCGGATTCAGTATATTCAGTTTTGTCTTTTTTTTCTATTCCTCTCTATTTCTCTGTCTCTCTGTCTCTCTCTCTCTCTCTCTCTCTCGCTCGCTCGATCGATCATAGCTGTTTCTCTCTCTAACTTGATCAATTTTTTGATCGCTTCGCTTGCTGGCTTTTTCGAAATAATTGCGGATATCTACAATATCGGAGTGTTGATTGCAATTTAATCTCGCATAAATGTGTTTTTTTTTTCTGTTTGTTTCGTTTGTTTGTCGATCAAATAAACCACGCGTTTACCTTTGGTTCTGTTCCTCGATTCGATTGTTTGTTCATTGAAAGGTTTCGAGTGTGAGCGCACGAGTGCGAAGGAGAATTCTCGATGATATTGCATATTAAAAATTGTAAGTAACTAAATGCGCCGCCTTCAAGGTCGTTTGTTACTCGATGTGTTCTTTTTAGACATAGGGGGAGAGAGAGAGAGAGAGAGAGAGAGAGAGATCGGTCGGTCGATCGATTTTTCCGATTTGTGTTATTGTTCTTTTTTGTAAGTGTGTGCTGTTGTCGATCGTTTATCTACAAACTATCGGCGCAATGTGTCGCAACATTGCTGAACAAAACAATAATAATACCTACGCAATAAATCACATTTTTAATTATATTATACACAGGTTACAATTACAATCAATAATGCAGGCAAATAAATGCCGAACGAAGCACTCACACTCACACTCGCACCCGAAAAAGTGTTTTTGAAAATTAGCATTCTCTTGCTGTTTCATTTGGAAATGAGTGGTGTGCATTGTGTTTGAAGCGAACTTTTTTTCCCCTTCGCTTGTATTTGCTCGATATTTTTCTATTTTGTGGCAATTTATCGATTGGGCGCACGGCATTTAAAACCATAAAATAAAACGAATTCACGGCCCCACCGGAATATGGACGAGAGAAGCAAAACGAACAGGAAAAAAAAAGAGAATTCGATCGAGTAAAACAAATAGTGAAAGGGGAGCCAGAAGCTCAAAAAACGCAACAATGTTCAGCTCAAATGCTCAAATTATCTCTCCTCGCCAATTGATTCTTTGGTGCGAACGAGTTCGGCGAGCAATGACACATACACATATACGCTCTCGCTGTTTGCGATGCAGTTTAAATGGAAATTCATATATTCGCTGCATTTGACGATAGTATATAATTTTCGGCCTGAGATTATGCGAGTAACGCGCACACGCTGCGCCGTCTTTCTCTCTCTCTCACCTTCTCTCTGTCTATCTCTCGGTGTGTGCTTGGCTAAACGAACAATGTTGTTCAAATCGAATATAATACCTGCACATGTTCGATCTCTCTCACCGGTTTCAGTGCTATTGCTTGGCCTGTGATTACCACAGCCATTCACAATTTGATTAGTGTAATTATGCGTTTTGTGGGATACTCGAAGTCAATAACACTATCATCGACGTCATTTTAAAAGACAAATTGAATGAACTCAAACGAAATGATATCGAAAGTCGAAAATTCGACCGAAAAAAAAGAGAATCAATCATATAAAAATTGATGTGTGTGTGTGATCAATATGTGATCCGAGATCCATTGATCGGATCAGTGTATGCGAGTTCATTGATGTGATCAATGCGATCGCATTGAGATCCATCGATATGATGAATGTGTTAATTCGTCATGTGATGAGTGTTCACACAGCGAATTCCATTGAAGAAAATGATTTGCAATTGAGGGAAAAATCGTGATGATGATGAGCCATCCTTGGTTCGCTCTGCATGAAATATGACCGGAAGCAAATGAGATCACAAGACTTTAGCTCTTATGTTCATCTATGAACTAATCTAAAGGAAATAAAGTTTTAATCTAATGCTTGCCAAAACATCCAAAGAAGAGGTCTTCACCGTCGGTGAATCACCGAAAGAAAAGCTGAGTGCCAAAACAAGATAAGTGTCAAAAAGTGCCAACAAAAATTACAAGTATTGAATAAACAGGAAAAACAAATTGAGTGCCGAACAACAACGAAACAAAAGTCGGAAAAAAAATGAGTGTGAAAAGGCCCTTGTCATGTATTGAAACACCAAGTTCGAGTTCATCGTACAACGTATCTCTCTTCACCCCATTTAATTTATAACACATGATGATTACAGGTTGTTATAGGCGAAAGAAGAAGAAAACGAAACAGCAAACAGAAACGAATGGAAGAGAGAAAAAAAATCGGTCATTTGAAACTTCCGAGGGCAATCATCATCATCTAATCTAATCTAATCCATCTAAATTAAAGATTGAAATCGTTCAAATGGAATGCGATGGGCCAAGCCGTTCATCGGGATTTCGGAACTCTTTGATTGCTTTATTCGATTTGAAAAAGGTTTCATTTTCGGCTTACCTGATGCGCAAATTTCCGTTCCGATGGGTTTGAGCATTTCGGGTGGATGGTGATTTGGTGCCGGTGCCATTGTTCAGCTGTGATAATTGACTAGCGCTTGTACGCGGTAATCGCGGTGATGGATTACCAGTGCCCGGTCGAACTGGTGGTGTGCATACCACAACGACACTATGAAATGCACAAAACCATACAATCACAAACAAACCGATGGCCATTAAGGCCTTCATCGTGCCTCACCGCCGAACACTTCTTCTGATCGTCGAATTTTTATAAGTTATGATTTTCGGTTTTTTCGACGTCGCCGTAGTCGTCGTCGTCGTCGTAGTCGTCGTAGTCGTCGAACTATTTTTTTCTTTCTGTAACGTTTGGTTTTCTCTTTCTATTCTGTTCGCACAATGTTTGCTATTGATCTTGTCTTTTTGGTCGACGTTGTTCGTTTGTTGCACGCGCGGTTTCGCTTCGATTTCGGTTGTACGCGTGTGTATTTTTTAAAATAGTTTTTAAGTTTTGCACTGTATTTTTTTTCTGCTTCTTCTGTACGTTTGTTCGTTCGAAACCTTCACTTTCACACCTTTAAACGACTCTATTTGTCTTTCGCTCTCTGTCTTTGTCGGCCGCCCCGATATTTTTCACTACTCTCCCAATGCTCTCGCCACACACTTTTTGATCAACTGTCCGTTTGTCGCTTTTTGTTGTTCGTTCGTTTTGTCCGCAATTAATTTCAGTTTATACGCGTGTCTCACTTTTTTTTGATCTGAAAGAAGAGAAAAAAAATCACATTCAATAGACTTTTTCGTTAGTTTGTTTATTTTCAATAATAATTTGCGATATGAAATATGACACGGGTTGTCCGATGTCGCGTGAGCGTATTGAAATTGAGCAAAAATGAAACAAAAGCAATCCTTCCACCGATGTGTGTGTCTTCGTCGCCGTTTTTTTTTTTTTGGTCATAACAAATGATTTAGCACCGTGCCAAATCGGCCGAAAATAAAGCATCAACCGAGTCGTCGGTTAAACTGACGTACAAAATCTTAAATAAATGAATTCGATCAACAATGTAAATGTTGACTTGCTTGAAAAGCGAACACAGTTTCGCGATAAATAAACATTATCATTTGTGGCAATGGCAACGTTTACGATTGTTCTGCTGTTGTTGTGTGTATATGTGTTGAAAAGCGCCAGAGAAAAAAGATTTTGAAATGGCAAATGATTAATTGCTGATACGCTGATCGGAGAGAGATCCTACGCAAGACATGCGTGGCGTCGAACCGCCGTGACAATGTGTGTGCTGTTTAAATTGAATGCTTGGTGTTTGGTGTGGCATGCGCGTACGAAACCATTGCCAAGCATCAAGTGCATTGAGACGAGGACGAATACACACGAGAAAACAATTACATTTGCATATGAAGACATCGTTCGTTGTTTTGACATGGGATACCACAACACAAATCCCAACAATTTCGGATAACAAGCGCGAAAATTCCAATTGGCCGCCATGTAACCGGTCTCAACTGATTTCAAATATTGGATTTGTTACCTTTGTTTTATGGGACCCTAAATCCTTCGAAATAATTTATCAAATGATTATGCATCAAGATAAATTTTGCATGTACCAGAAACCAACAACAAATTGAACGAAATTTTTTGGGGTATTTTTATGTTATCAAAAAATCGAATGATTTTTCTTTTCAATCGTGTCCAGTTGTGTTGCATGAACCAGTTTTCCAATTCCCAATCAATCAATAAAAAAAATTGCAATTTCGAAATTGGCGCAATAAAAACCATTGGAATTACTGTATGACAAAAAAGCCAACTCGTTGGAACACACAAAAAGAATCGCTGTTAAGAAAATACACACAGCTAACAAATTGTCGTAAAAAATGCTGAATCGGTCGTGTTTTTTTTGTGTATTTATTTCGTACAAATTCTCATCGATCTGTTGTCTGTAGAATGTCGATCAGATCGATTAATCGATCGTCATGTAAGTCACAAAACCAGAGCAAAATTTATACCAAAAAATAAATCGCAAATCCCAATCACACGTATACTACTAAATATCAATCAAAAAAAAACGGAGCGATTGTCGAACAGAAAAGGCACAGCAGCGGCAGCAACAACAGCAGCAGTAGTAGTTAAAATCGCGATCGGAATAAAAATGTTTTTTGCTGATTTATGACAAGATGACTGACATTTGCCAGTTGCCAGTGACATCAAAATAGCAACCAAGTAACGGGTTTGTGTGTGGATTTTGTGCGTGAGATGGTGGCGGTGACGACTACGATGACGACGATGGCAACAATAGTGGAGTGAACCAGTTTGAAGCACGTTGTACGTGTCGCAAATTCGGGCTAAATTTAATTTTATTAAGACGAGATGGCCTATCGAAATAATCAGCATTGTGCTCATTTCCATCGGCCCATCAATTTACTGTGTCTTTTTATCGCAAGCACCATTTTTTGTTCTCTTTTTATCGCAAGCACCAATTTTCCAGTCCCATTCATTGAGACGATTGCACATCAATGTTCAATGACAAAAACATCGAGACAAACTGAATCGAACTTGTTCATCAATCATAAGCAATAAAATGATTGGGACAATTTTGCCATCGACCACAGCCGAAAAAAAAAATCATTTAAAGAGGACAAAAAATTGATTAAAAGAGAAGACACAAAATTGAAATGGAGACGAGCTGCAATTCAGAACTGGAGACGATAAACTCGGAACAACAAACCAAATAAGTACCCGATTATTATAATAAAATTGGAATGGGTGTGCAGCAAGCGAACCATCTCTCGCAGACAAAATGGTGACAGTCGTCGGCTGTTTCTTTTTTTTTCGTTCAATTCATTTTTTTTTTCACCTGTAAAACCGATAAAATTTTAGAGAAATACAGCTTGAGTTTTGTTTTTATTGCGGCTTGTAATTTTATTGCACATCATCATATTTGAATGCGACAACGATGATGGACAAACAAGTTCGATACTCGGTTTTTGTTTTAGGTTGTTGTTGTTGTTGTTATTTGGAAGACAATTCGGCATTGTGCTGAGATTTATGAAATTTAAATGTGATTCAAGCGTGCGAAATTGAAAAAAAAGACAACGATGTAATTTTTCTTCTTCTTGTATCACTAATCCCAAACCATCGAACTGATTTATCAAAACACCGAATAATTTGATGACATAAATTAACTGACAATCGAGAAGAAAACGTTGAACACGAATGATAGCAAAAAAAAAAAGCGAAATAAAGACCTTGATATCGTCTTTATGACCCGAACGGTGGCACTGTAATTGTTTATGATACCTGTCGATATATATCGACGACGACATTCGACCGCATTTCGCAGAATCTTTGATTATCATTATGAAGTGTTGAACGCGTTTTTATAACACAATGCCCCGACATACATTGTGTGTGTCATTTTTATTGGAGGTGATGATGATAAGCGATTGCATCTCAATCTGGGTGATTATGTGATTGGGAAATTTGGTGTATGTGACCGGTCAGAGGAGATAAAGAGAGTTAGAGCAAGCGAGCTGTCTATCGAGATAGAGAGTGAGAGTGAGAAGAAGATCGATAGCGAGTGTGAGATGGTGTCGAGGTGTGCATAATATAAAGATCAACACTGACCCCTGAACTTATAAACTGTGAATAAAAGCATAAATAATTTCGCCTCATCTTAGGTGTCTTATCTCTCGTCTCGATGTCTGTCGCACGTATGCATTCATAATTTAATTAGATTTCTTGAATGTCAGGTTATGTATTGATGAGATTGATGCGCCGAATTCGGCAGAGCCCATTCAACAAACTGAATCGAGAAAAAAAAAACACTAAATAAAAATCGATTACGAGCGCACTTTTCATCACACACAACCCACCAAAGAAAAAAATTGATTTGAGTGAAATGGATAGTCAACAATAGCCAAAACCAATAAAACAAACAATAAAAAAAACGGTGACGACGACGATGACAACAACACCAATTTCATTATACATATTTATTTTTATATATATTTGGCATATCGATTTTTTTTTTATGAGACGCGCAAGCCCGCCTTATCATATATATTGCTCAAGTAATTTTGTCAATAATTTATTGGTTTTTTGCTACGGAATTTCAGCGACATTTTATTACGTAATTTGACGAACGAAGAAAGAAAAAAAAAACATTATATGCGGTAATGCGCAACGCTTTATCGCTTTGAACGATAACAGGTCAAACGAGTAAACCGTTGCAGCATTCACAAAAAAAAAAAATTGATATTATGCCTTTATCCAAAATTATCCAATTTATGTATCCAAAAAATATTCCTGATTCTTATCAACGCGCGCTGTGATTAAGTCATGAGCAAAATTGAAATATATGGCCCACGGATATCTTGTCTATAGATTATCTGATTTTAGATATGCAGGATATTTATGCACACTCTGGTGCAGTAAATTTTGATTTATTTGAACATAAAAGCGAGTTTTTCTTGGTTGTTGATGACTTTGAAGTGAGCTTTTCTTGAGCCAAGGGACTTCAATTCATTCTGGTTGTATTTCTTCCGCAGCTTCATTGTTTTGAGTGCGAAGAGACAAGTTGTCTCGGACAACTAAATTGCAACCATTGTCGATGTCAAACGAAATTAACCGAAAATAGGTAATAGAAGATCGCGCAGCGTAACACTTTTATGGTCGGAAAAGGACAGGAACAATAAGCGAGATACGCGGGTGAGACTTGATGTGAACAGTGTTTACTGGCAGTGAATGATTTTTTATGATATTTCCCAAACACTGTTCACTACACACTTGGGTGGAAAAGGCTAGAACTTGCTGGAATGATGTGAAAATGCAAAACTTTGATGGCTCCAGATGGACTGACAAGCGTTCACAACGGCGATTGACTGACAATGTCAGTTTGACATGGACACCGTTGAACTAGTTACACACAATTGCACGGGATACAATTAGACGCTATGACATTTTCAACACGGTTAAATGAAATGCCACAATAAAAAGTCACCAAACGTTCTTTCAAATACGTCATCAACATCATCAGCGTTTCAGTTCGCGTTTCAGAGTAAGAAATACGTATTTTAAGACCTGAAATTCGCATTTCGAAATGCAAAATACTTTGATCAAAGTAGCCGTTTCGGAAACTTCACATTTTAGGATTTTGGAATTTAAAATTTAAATGCGCGTTTTTCATTGTTTTTTTTTTTTGAATTGAAAGTTTGCACGGTTTGCGTCAGCTGAAAAGAGTGCAATTGTCTTTTGGGCAAAAGTCATAGTTTAGCCGAAGTCAAGATATAGCAAAAGTCGCAACTTGGCAGAAGTCGCGATCTGGGAGAAGTTGAAATTAGGTAGAAGTAAAAAAAAGAGTCAAGTTCTGCGAAACTTGGCAGAAGTTCAAACGGCCAAGCCAAAAAAAAACGACGAATTAAAAACGGAAGACACAAATGGCAAAACACAAACCGGAAGATAACAAATTTCAAACAAACTGGAAACCCAAAATTGGCACACAAAAAAGCACAAACAAAAACACAAACGGCAAATCACACCATGTGAAAACGTCGAACCGACCGAATTGAACTTGTGAACCGACGATTAAACTCTCGCGTTGCAAACTGTTGTTTCAAATTGAATTGTAAACGAAATGAAATTGATATGGCCTACTGGCCCATGTGTCTGCTGTATCCACGACGATGCGAAAATGTTACGCCAAGAATTGGTGCCGATGAAAACATTTAAGCATTGATTAAATAACAA